AGGCCTGGCAACGACATTTGCATTTTTCCGATCAGTCTTTTTCCTCAGCTGAATTAATGATCCACAACGACAATGATCTGATGTAGCTTGAGAAATTTTCATATTCATTTTACAGTAAATAAATGCAGGTATAATATCTTCCTTTTTACCTCTATACAGAAGGTAGTTGACGATGATCAATTGCCATAACAAATGATGAAAATTAAGCAAAGCTTTTAGACCCTCTAAATTTGCCCCCTAGAACAGTCATACTGCGACTGGCGAAATTTTCATTTTTGGAGCAAAAGCTTAGCAACCACTTTTCCACCGTGAATATTGGGTGGTCAACTCAAAACCGCCACAGATTCTTTTGAGGATTTTCATAGATTTTCAACCCAATTTAAATGTTTTCAAACACTTTGTTTTAAAGCCCTTTGGTAAGATAGATACTAGTAATAAACCATATGATCTGCGTGTCAGGGAAAGATTTTTCACAGAAGCTCTGACATCCATCAAAACAAAACTCTTGCTCTCCCCTCAGTTTCATTATTAATTTATTCATGAGATATATTCTCTCGGGGAACACTTGACCTGTTCTTTTCGTTCAAAAGTTTTGATATCTATGGTGAACACTACGAGTGAAATCAAAAGAAATAACCATTTGTTTCCTTGGGAAAAAAAAAAAGTACCTTTTCCGTCCTGTGAGTCTCACGTTCATTCGACTTCCTCTCATGGGATGATCGAATGATGCAACTGAAAGCAAACCCCAGTATGACCCCCAGAGTTGCTGCTGAATATCATGGTATTTTGTTGTTGTTTGTTTGTTTTTTTTTTCTTTTACATCCCAGCATGACCCCCTGAGTTATTTCTTGATGTCATTGTATTTCTTTTTTTAATCAATGATGACTTTGGCATTCTGATCGGCTCTCGGCAGTGGGACTTATTCACAAATTGCACTATTTTTGCTCTAAGTGGCAACACTAAAAGCGAACAAATAAGGCCTGGTTAAATAAACCAATCAAATTTCAGGAAAGAGAAAGACAAAAAAATAAATAAATAAGAGATGTCATCAAGAAGCGGATTTTGTAAAATTTGTCTCAAAGACATTTAAAAAAATGATTTGGATATATCAAAAAAGTTAAAATGGCAAATTGGCCACCGTAACGATTACAAAAGCTGACGTTTCGAGCGTTAGCCCTTCTTCGGAGCTCCGACGAAGGGCTAACGCTCGAACAATTTTCGCGATTTCAAAGTGGATGTAATAACGTGGTTATTGATCTTCGTGGCGTGCAATCTTGGTCTGAAATCATACTTTTGATTTTAAGTCGAACTTGCGCCGGACGCTCGTTTGATTTTGAATTCAGATAACTCCACCCAGTTTAATCACCATTATATAACCCTAGGGGGTGATACCAAGTGAGACTGCAACATCCTGCTCCTCGCCTCCTCCCCCACACTTGTGACGTTCTGAACCTTATTGTGCACTTTGCCTGCCTCGTGAAATATGGACGTTGGATACTTGGAGGTTTTCAACAAACTATGGCATCATTCTCAGATTGAATGGGCGGAAAGAGGCCCGAAAAAAACATTTATAAAGGATTTTTTCAATGAAATCTCAAGCTTTGGCTTCATTTCAGTCGAAGATATACTACTTTGTCTTGTTCTTGGCGTGGCTTTCACCATATTGCGGTATTTGATGTCCACAGTGATCTTCGAGGTATGAATTATTACATTCGAAAATATTTCTCATTTTTAATCACTTTCTCCGATTCATTTACTGGTACTTTATTCAATTATCATGTAGCTTTCAATAATACTGGTGCAAATCAGGAAGCCTGTCGCGAAAGCACTATTCGATAAGCTATTTCGAGCAGAAGTAAAGCATTTACAAGACGCTCGAATCTAGTCCAGTTTATCACATACAGCGCAAAGGTCATTTATGAGATAATTAGCTAACATTAGAGTTTCAATCACATAAATGTATATTTCACCATCAAGACGTAGTTCCAGTCGGATTAATTTTTACATTAGCAAGGATGAAAACATTGTTTTGACCGCTGTAACCGAATGTGTGACGCCCCAGCTACTTTGCGTATTCGTTTGTGGCAGGATGTGGCGAACTCATGCAAAACACCATAATCATGAAAATTAATTGACTGTGCATTTATTTGTGTCCTTCTCCCTCAGTTAATCTATATCTAACGAACCCTTTTATCAAGTCTTTGAGTTTTACAAGGACTCGCTCCAAGTGATCTTTGATATTTGCGTGAATGATGAGCATAATCGTTGTTACAAACCAATACTTAAATAAACATCTTCAAGGTCCACTGCCATAGGGTGTGAGGGAACTCATTACCTTCGAAGGCTCCAGAGGACAATAATAAAGGACAATTCAGGCCTAAGAGAGCGCTTAACACACGCGTAGTTACACGTCAACAAATGCTGTAGCGGGCGATCGCGAATCAAAGATGACAAGATTATGATGTAAATTTGCACGAGAACAAACCTCAGAACAGCTGCAGAAACAACATCGTCACATTCTGTTTACTTCGAATGCGCACTTGTTCAATCCACTATGAAAGTGAGCAAAACTACATCATACAATAACCTTCATTTATGGTTCACGCAGAGCCATGAAAATATTGCTCTTTGAACAAGGTATCAGCACATTACTCAAAATAAGGTATCCTTGATAAACAACTTAGTTCTGTCTTGAAACTCCACCACGCTGCACACATTCCTCCAAACTAAAAGCGCCCAGTGTAAAATGTTAAAAGTTAATCACTAACGCTAGGTCAACCAATATCCTTTGCTTCAAGAGGTGTCTGTTGTAGTTCAGCACTGTGTGCATTTTCCTGTAGGCTTCATTTAATCATTTTTTGAAATGAAGGAAACCTTGGTAATGTCACGAATCACAGTGTGTGAGCACTGGGAAGCCATGTTTTTTGTTGTGAGCTTGTATGAGGAAGGATAACAGAATCCAATGCTTATAAGAGAAAATGGAAAGTGTGACAATACTAGAGTTAATTGCAAGTGAAGAATCAGACTAGCCAAAATTTGCTTTATTACCAGTCTCAGCAACTCACAGCTTAATGATCATTGTGAAAAAACATGTGTTTACCTAGCACAGGAAATTAATTTTGGTTTTATCAACTGAACTGATGATGTAAATACAGTGGAATCCCAATTTCTTGAACCCTCGTTTCTTGAACCTCCCAATATCTCGAACCAAACCTTGTTTCCCTTGGATTTGCTTCACTTGTAATTTCACCCCCGATTTCTCGAACCAATTTGCATTTCCCCTGGAGGTTCAAGAAATAGGGATTCCACTGTAGGTCACAGTGAATAGTCTTAAAGCTTACCCTTTGAGTGCTAGCACTTTCGTCCATTCGCTCTGATGAAGATGGAACACTCAAAACCTCAGCTTTGAAACTTTTTACAATGGCCAAATTACTTTTGTCAACTTGTTGATAAAATAAAATTGTCTTTTTATACTCTCCCACAGATGCAGCTCCACAGTTCCTTTAGACATTTACCCCTTAACACCTTACACAGCCTTATGTAGATAAGCTGAGCCAGTTAAAGCACAATGCTGCTGGATAGTGCTTTGCTCAAAGTTGAGTAAAACCAAACTTGCAGCAGGGCCAAAATGAATTTTTTTATGGGAGCATTGAGGGATGACCAAATGTTTGTTATGTCTATCTGCCTGACAGGAGATTTCCTGAGCTTGTATATACTGTGAAAATTGCTAGATTTTAAACGCTTTGAAAACATTTCTGGCATAGAGATTTAATGGTATGCTTTAGCTCGGAAAATTTGTCCACTAAAACCAAGATTATCAAGGCTGTGGTCTAGTAGCACTTGGTGGCCCTGTGATGCCTTACTTTTGCTCTTGGGTAACTCAGGAATTGTAGTTTTTTCATACGAAGCATATAGTGGGTACCCTGCATTTCAGTTTCAGAGCACTGGGCTCCATTCAATTTTCCTGAGAGCATGGCCTTTATTATTTCTGGAATCGCTTGACATTTGTTACACTAACATCTGATACTCTGAGAAAGTTTCAAAGAACCTCTTAGAGGAAATTCTGTGAGAATTTCTGAGTGCTAGGGATTATGTCCTTATAAGATGGTGCCTGGCTGCCAGGCATTTAGACACAGCCAGCTTTTTTAAATGTCTCAGGGACATATTTTGCTGCTAAAGAATTTGATCCTCAAAACATTCTCTCCTCAGTTAATTGTCATTTCCTTGCTTCGAACTCATTTTATGTGAAAATGATCACTGTTAAAGAACATAACTTAATAGCATTTGGCAGAGGTGATAGAATTACGGTATCTTACAGTTGTAAACTTCCTCTAAGATCATCAAAGTTACCAGGGAGAGCCCAATGTGAAATGTAGTTGACAACATGTAGTACAAATCATGTTAGTACCTTATTGCACAAGATCATATATCCTCATTATTACACACTTCATATTACAATGAAATTAACACGATTTGAGCAGGAAGTCGATCATGATCATTAAGGGTAAAATGCAGACTTAACACTAACATTAAGCCAGCTAGTGGAAACTAGTTCAACAATTCTGGATTTTCAGAAGGTTACCATTTTAGCAGGGTGTTCTTGAGCCAGTAGAGGTTAAAGAATTCTCTGGTTGCCATACATAGTTCTGTAAAATTTCAATGGCCATAGCTATTTTTATTAACTAAGGAAGAGAATTCTCCTCTTACCTAATTGTTGCACTATACTTCTACTGTTACTGTAAAATTTCTTGACAGAAACCCTGTTTCAGACCCTAAATGCAAAGAATGTTAAATCATCCATTTGTACTAATGTTTACCCAACTTAAGTAATGTCATACTTAACAAATGGTAAACACCACAGCATACACTATTGAGTTATGGATGCATGCAGGAGGTTGCTAAGCATGAAAGAAGCGTAAGAGTCGCTCGAGGCGATAGCCGAGAGCAACTCTAGCTTCTTGAGTGCTTAGCAAACCTCCCAAGTGCGTCCATAACTCAATAGCGTACAGTGTGGTGTTTACCATTTGTTTTAAAACATAACATTGATACATTGTAGCTAAAGAGTTCCCTGTTATTTAACGAATCTTACGTGACCAGAAAAAACAAGCGCGCGCGGAAAACTAGTCTTTGCATTAGCTCACGTCAGCAGCGTACACCCAGGGGCAAATGGAGGACACTAAATTGACCAATCAGAGTGCGCGCTTTACTTTGGTTATGTTATAAATGTACTTAGAAGTAAAATTCTATTTTTGTCCTTTATTTGCAGCCTTATTTTAAATGGTGTCAGTTCTCTGAAAAAGATCAAAAGAAGTCTCCTGAAAATGCTTTCAAGTTTTTATTTTACTCCTGCGCTTATGGCTACTGTACCTACATTCTGTTTAATGGAAAATACTACTTTTTCCAAGATACAAGAAACTGCTGGAAAGGTTAGTTTCATTTTCATGCAATGAAGTTTTACTCTTAGTTTCTGTTTATTTTTTTACACAAAGGGAAGAGAACCTTTTTATGCATCTATCAGTTCAAAGATTCAACATTCCCACCCCCCTCAGGCAATCCAGCAGGCATCTGAACTTTTGGAGATTAATTTGTTTAAAGTTCCACCCCTTGGAGCCGAAACTGTGTTCAAATTCCCCATCCAAGTGCTGCATTTGATTGTCAATTTTTTGTAAAAGGCAACATTGCAGTTTTATTAACAAATGGTAAACACCACAGCGTACACTATTGAGTTATGGATGCACACGGGAGGTTGCTAAGCACGAAAGAAGCGTAAGAGTCACTCTCGGCTATCGCCTCGAGCGACTCTAGCTTCTCGAGTACTTAGCAAACCTCCCAAGTGCATCCATAACTCAATAGTGTACACTGTGGTGTTTACCATTTGTTTTATAACATAACATTAACACATTGTAGCTAAAGAGTTCCCTTTTACTTAACAAATCTTACGTGACCAGAAAAAACAAGCGTGCATGGAAAAATAGTCTTTGCATTTGCTCATGTCAGCAGCGTACACCCATGGGCAAATGGGGGACGCTAAATTGACCAATCAGAGCGCGCTCTTTACTTTGGTTATGTTATAAACTTTCTTGTAGACCTAGTTCTCTTAAGCAATCTGCTTGCAAAAATGAACTTTTTACTTGTAGACAAATCCATAATAAAAAGATCAAACATGTTTATTCCACTGAGAAGACTTGAAAGTTCCTGTTCAATTTTTGCACCCCACCAAGGCAAGGTTCAAATTCCTCAACCCCCATGCATAGAAGACAGTCAAATGCCTGTGGGTTGCCCTGAGGGAGTGGGGGGATGTTGAAGGTAAATGAATTGGTTGGGACATAAACAGATCACTTATGTAGGGTAAGATCAGTTCTTTAGAGGACACTGTACATAGTTAAACAGAGGACATTAGTGAACGGTAGTTCATAGCACATGTTAATGACTTTTGTCTTCCTATGAGAGTATTATCACATAAACATATACTATTCAAATCTAAGACATTTCAAGAGCACTTAAATAGTGATCAGCTGCAGGAGAATCTGCAGACTGCATAGGAGCTTTCTTGTTGGACAGCTTTGATGATTACATCAGCTGCTATTCCCCTCTTGCTGGGAACTTTACCTTAACTTTCTTCCTTTCAGTCTACTGACACCCTACCATCTCCAACTTCACTATATTCATGATCTCCCCCAACTTCATCACTTGCTGTTTCAACATTGATCTTTGTGTCTTTATTGCTTAATGTATCTTCTGGGCTGTCAGGACAAATTCAAAAATATTCACTTATCCCATGTTACAGAAATATCATATGTATCGTAACAAGTACAGATGGGGGGTTACATGTTTCTTCCATGCTCTTTTCCAAAAACATATTATCATGTATTATTATCCAGCTGTGCCTGGTAGAGTACAAATAACAAATGAGATGAGTACAACTATCATGCAATATTTGTACTCCAGAAATATCCGGAAAATTCACCTGCATTGAAAAACAGCTTGACGTGTTGGATAATAAATCTCTTATTAGACATTTTGTTGTGTAGTATCGCTGAGTATTTTTACTCGTTGTTTGTATTTTGACTCGCCTTATGGGCGAGTCAAAATACGACACAACTCGTAAAAATACTCAGTGATACTATGCGACAAAACATCTAATAAGTTATATTTATCTGCTTTGGAGTAGTCACAATTTGTCAGGAAAATCCCATCTTACCCTCAGTAGAAATTATTTCTGTAGTATCTGAAAGTACTCTTATAATAGCATTTGGGTCCTGGCTGTGGAGAACCATCACAACTTGGATTCCACATCCCTCATCCCATCAGCAATAGCTATGACTTGTGACATTAGTGTGACATACCACAGGTATCCCATACAAGAACTGATAGTCGTACTAATCCTGCAGAATTGTGTGGAATGGCATCTTTTGGCTTTATCGCATGAAAGCAGGCAAATTGTTTGGAAAGATTGATGATTGGACCAGGATGATTACTATTTTATTAAACAAGAAAAATATATCTTTTATGTTTAAAATTGTAGCCTTTTTTCAGCAAGATGTGTTTAACATTCTTCAAATGTTTGTCTGCAGGATGGTATAAAGGAATGCCAGTTAATCAAGACATCTACATCCTGTATGTGGTACAAATTGGGTTTTATTTCCATTCCATTTATGCTACATTGTTTATGGATCAGTGGAGAAGGGATTCCATTCTCATGATTGTACATCATGTTCTAACAAATGGCCTACTTTTTTTCTCATTCGCTGTAAGGTAAGATTTTGAGAATTGTGATTCAGATAGGGTGCATGATAACAGTTGCAACAATGATAATGATAACAATATGAAGAAATCTGCATTGGTGGCAACCCCAAAGATCTTGCTGATCAAAGGTCTTGTTGATCAGAGGTCCTGGGAATTTTATGGATAAGCAATTATATGGATTGAACAGACTTATCTGAAGTACCAGTAAGTTGTGACTTAATGATAATGATGATGAAGTGGATGATAATAACAAAGTTGTTAACAATAATGATGGTGATGATGTTAATTATAATGATAATGATAATTATAATTTATGATAATAACACTAGTGACAGTAATATATTTTTCAAGGAAGTTGTTAGGGGGCTGAATGACATGTGAAGGATAGTAGCTTATTAAACTGCGGGTAACCTTGGGACAACTTGTTGTTCATTTGCCCTCATAGAGATAACCCAAGCCTTAAAATTTCAAACTTATGTGGTAATGAACATGATACATTCTTATTTATTAGAGTGACACCAACTTACATGTACCTTGAAAGGTTGTTGTTTTTGGTTCTTATCAATGACTATATACAAAATGATCGAAGATCAATCAGTTGATGGCCGACAGTATATGCTCTTCTAGAGAGTGTTTCAACTAATTTTACTAATTATTACAAAAAAGACACTCAGATATAGGGTGTTCGAACATGCTGCGCCCAAAGTATGGAACCGCCTACCTCTGGAAATTAGACAGTGTCAATCGTTGGATACTTTTAAAGTTTTACTAAAGACACATCTTTTTAATTTAGCTTACTATTAGTTCTTTTATCAATTCATGTTTTACCTTTATTGTTTTTCTGGAAAATTGTAAATTATTATTATTACTATCATTATTAGGATTAGCCTTATTGCTGTAAGATTTTTAATGTTGTAATGCGCATTCGATCATATCTTTTATTGCATGTTAGACTGCGCAATATAAGAAATAAACATTATTATTATTATTATTAGTTTTTAATAATTAATATTTTGGTACATGCTGAATGGTGCAAACTTTCTTTGTGGTCAAATACATGTGTGACTGCTATGTCATTGGCTTTTAACCATCATTTTGACAGAGGATTATGTTAAAGGAAATACTTAATTAATATGTAATCTCCTTTTATTTAGGTACCACAGAATTGGTGTTATAGTTTTGTTTCTCCATGACATTTCTGATGTTTTTCTGGAGTTCAGCAAACTCTGCGTTGCTTTCAAGTCACGTGGAGGAAAATATCATCTGATGCCTGATATACTCAGTGTTGTTGGAGTTTCTTGTTTTGCTTTGGTATGGTAAGTACCATTACTCAGTGAAGCTGTTTTGATTTTGATTTTTTTGTTTTTTTGTTTATTTGTTTGCTTGTTTTTTTTCTCTTAAAGACATGCTTGTATTGTAAATATAGTGGGGTAAATATGCCATTTTCCAGTTGAGTACTTACCGGTAGTTGCCAAGCCTCTGATTCGGAGTGAGGCTGAAGGTGACCTTGTTGTGATTGAGATCAGTATCTTGTTAGCATGATAACGAAGTAATTTAGATTTGAAAAGCAACAATATTTGTATCATAACACGGTAACCATCAGCCTCACTCCTGTTCAAATGCTTGGCAACCAAGCACACAATTGTAAAATGGACTATTGAGCGTAACAACAATTGTCATTTGCCTTAGTCAGAATTCAGTCACTTGATGTGATGCGGTTGATCTCTTTGCCTGACCCGTAGTGAGCAAATGGGATGTTTTTATCCACATTGAAAGTGACCACACTGTGAGACAGGTTAATCAACCTATTAGAGAAGCCTTGGCTGTGCTCTGTTGTAAAGCACCAAGGATGGAGCTAGAGCAGAAAAGAAGTGTAGGGAGAAACTCCAAACATAGTCAAATGATTCTCCCCACTCCTTGCATGACAATAATTATCAAGTAGATATGGAACTTCTCTGCAAGTGTTCAACTTGATATCTCACAAGTGAGCACAGTATAAGAGTCAGACATCAAATTGAATATAGGAAGAGAAATTCCATATCTACAGGCAACCATATACAGTATTACCCGTATTTTGTCTATTACAGACACTATAGGGCTTTACTGACAAGAAAATTCAACAAGGATGGTGAACATTTTTCCATGCATTCATCAACCTGACAAGGCCAGTGACGTGCCAGCAGCTGATTGCATGGCAATATCAAATGTACATATATCTTATTAGACATTTTGTTGTGTAGTATCGTTGAGTATTTTTACGAGTTGTGTCATATTTTGACGAGCCTGTAGGGCGAGTCAAAATACAAAATAAAGAGTAAAAATACTCAGTGATACTACACAACAAAACGTCTAATAAGTTATTTATTATCCAACCTGCCAAACTGTTGTTTCTGCGGGCGAATTTTGCAGATTTTTATTTACGGGAGTGCGTGACAGAAGTATGCCAAGCGGAACAGAATTGGTGCGTTGTTGTGTTGCTGTTTCTATTTTCTTCATTAAATGAAGAAATTTTCTGGTCGTCAAGCTGTTTTTCTTCGTTCGATTCATCAAATGAACTTGGATGTATACATGTATTTGCCAGCCACTCTGACTCTTTGTCGTCTGAAATATGATTGAAATTGTCCGCTACTTTTTTTTTCCGTAACTACAATCCAATTCTTTGCTTGCACGATGCGAGAAAACCAGTTTAACTGGTACTACAATAGATGAGTACAAATACCACGCGATATTTGTACTCGTCTATGGTGTTATTCGTACTCGTCTAGGTGTAGTTGGATAATAAATAAGAATTATTATGGTTATTTTTACATATGTTTATGACTTTCTCAAGGCTGGAGGTCCTTGTAAATTACCATCATGATGATAGTTCATATCATTAAGATATAGTTCCTACAGGAGGTGCTAAAAACTGCCTAAAATATAATTTGAAGTGACCAAAATAAATTCTTAATTATCCTCTAGGTTATATTGTCGCCTGTACCTCTACCCACTGAAAGTACTTTTTTCTTGTGGCTGTGATGCTCGACCAGTCCTTCCTGCTGCTCCTTTCTACTTCTTTTTCAATGCAATGCTATGGGCATTATTTTTCATGAACATTTGGTGGTTTACATTTATTGTGTGGCTCCTAGTTCGCATTATTGTTGGAAAGAGCACTGGTGTGGAAGACACCCGTGAGATCCCTGAGCAATCAGAGAAAGAGAAACAGCTTGCTAATGGAGAGAACATAGCAAATGGAGAACTACATGAATCAGCTGGTGATAAAGGTGAGGCACGCTAGAACTTCTCTCCTGTAGAGTGCATCAATTCAAAATAATTTTATAAACTCATTGAGATGGTACATGTACATGAACTCCCATCAGTCTATTGGTGCGTTAAGATGAAAGTATATAAACACAGTTGTGTTGTCACAATCATTGACAATATTAAGCTTTTTCATTTTCAACCTGTATGTATCTGAAGAGGGCCAGAGGCCAAATGACATATTCAATGCTGGGACATTTTAGAGTTCATTTTCTCTCTTTCTTCTCTACACAAACTGCATGCACTGGTACATACACATGCATGGACATATGTACTTCTCTTATTGTAGAAATCTAAAAAAGTTTCGAATAATACAATGTATCTTTGTAAACTCTGGAAATTTATGTTGGTCTTCCTCCTTTTGTCCTGAAGCTGTTCTCATGTATAATGGTAATGGTATCAAAAGAACTGGAGAAAATGGTGAACATGTTGTTCATGACAATGAGCAATTCCGACACAGGCAAGCACACACTAAAAAAGCCAGTCCATAGGATGAATCTCGCAGGTGAAACAGGCCACTAGCATGTAAGTTTTCTTAGTAACCTGTAACAAAATTAAAACGGCACATTACAATTATAAAAGTTACAATGAAACCTGTTCCAAGGAGACATTTACTGCAATGTCTATTTGATACATACAGATCCCACAAAGCTGGGTAGGACATGGTAATTTTTCAGAGTAAGTTGTGTAAATTTGGTTCTCACTGCTATGGATCAGTTATTTTGCATATATAGTTCTGTAGCATTTCTACTTATTTTTTTTATCATTCAGGTGACAACTAAAGATTATGATGTGAAATAACCTTGGTTATTAATAAATCTCTGAAGTAAGCCTTGACCTGACTCAACGGTCAAGTCATAGCATTATTTTGGTGTTTTCTAAGCATGGTAGAACTGACATTTTTTTCTATCTTTCATCAGTTTTTTTTTTTTTTTTTCAGACCAAAACTCCCACATGACCACAATTTGGATAAAATTGTGCTCCATACCACTGAGAAGTTTAAAAGATGTGAATAACTTCCATAGTGTGTTACTGTGTTAACAGTTTGCTTGCTTCAATATGATTATGCAACTTTCGTCAATACTTGTAACGAGCAACTAATATTTTGTCTGACAGTTCTTGACATTAGAGTAATAACTATTATTGCAATGATTGTGTTTGGTTTGTAAAATGTTATCCAATTGTTGGTTTAAAAAAGTGTGGTGAGCCTCTTCTAATAATATTACAACAAAGAATATATACAGTTATGTAAAGTCTGCACGCCGTAAGTGATATCTAGTTCTTTAAATAGTAACATGATTGTACGTGGCTGTGGATATGACCCAAGAACTAAACGTATTGTGCATTGAATTTGTTTTTTTTGTTTTTTTTTTTCTTTTTTTGACAAAATTTTAGTAAGTGCAGTCCAATCGAATAGAACGTTTTTGTTAACGTGTTGGGAATGTATGTGCAGTCAAGTTAATAAGTTAAATATTAAGTAAAATCTTAATGATATGGTTCGATAGGAAATTTATACGTCTTTTGAATTCATAACTAGCTACATGTATATTCTTGGATAAATAATTTTTCAAGGAATATATTTATCAAGGCATGGGTGTAATGTGAGGAATGGTAGATTTCTTAACAAGGCAATTGCAGAATTACTACTTTGGGATAGTTTTACAATTGTGTCTTTGTTAGTTGATTCATATTTTGAATTTAGTAAACGTTCAAGTAAAACTCCATCATCAGTCATCATTACCTTTACCACAGTATTTTCAGTGTTCACATTTTGTATGTTAATTTTCGTCTACTCCAGTTATGCATCACGTGATCTTTATGAGCACAACAAAGTAAATTTTAATTTACTGACGAGAAATGGCCATTAGCATTTCGCCAAATCACATACAAAGCCTATATTTTATTCTTCGTTTATTGTGAAATAGAAAGGAATTTTTGCGTCATTTGTTTGTTTGTTTGTTTGATTTTTTTTTTTTTGTCTCGTCACTTTCGTCAGAAACTGAATGCAACGAAAAACCAACGCAGTTACAAGAAAAGAGGCAAGAGGACAGTGTTGTAAATAAGAACACTGCTCAGGACCAGGAGCTCCGATAGATTTAAGTATCTCACTGCAGTAAAAGTTTGAAGCCTTTTTGTCGTAAAATTTCATATCATCTGGTCTTTATATCTGAGAATTATTTTATAAATAACTATTTTATTACAAAATCCAATTGCTGTTTTATTTACGTGGCAGGACTAAACCTTTCAATGGAACTGAGTACTGATAACTTTGACAGGGCTAACATGGTTATTTTTCTCCATTTGACAGCTTGTGGTTTCTTTTGTGAACGCATTTATTTCAGACAACAAGTCACACGTGTGATATGTAGGCATCATACGATCGATGTTTTGAAAACTGATGGTTTCCGTCCGAGAGATTACAGTCCAGAATCTTGTTACAAGTTATTATTATTATTATTATTATTATTATTATTATTATTATTATTATTATTATTATTATCCAATTACAAAAATCAGAAGTAATTGGAACAAATCATTATCACTGTTTATGAACAAATCGAAACTTACATGGTCAGGATATTTCATTCTGATAACCTCCGAGGTACCAATGTACTACGTTAGAAAGGAAAACTAAAGCCGGCGTCATGAAATTTGCACCTTAGAACAGAAATTTATTTTCTCATTTTATAGGTATGAAAGATGTACCTACATACATGTGCATATAAAAGAAACTATACTAAGAAAAATCTACAGAAATTTAATTTAAAGGTAAAGTTGTCTATCGCGAGCTCTGGGAGTTTGAACATTGTGGTAAACATCTGGAATTTGTCAACTCAAATTCCGGATCCATCGTTTAGTAAAGTTTAATGATTCGTAATCATTAATTAATAACTGATTACATATTAGATTGAAGTATATTTCTGTAACATTGGTTAATTATAAGGTAGCATTGTTTTGCTAGATGGAGCTAGGTTTCAGGATATGAAACAGTGATTACTTGAGGGATATTTCAGTTAATTGAAATAAGTGCTAATAATCTTGGAAGGGTGACCTTATTACGAAGATGAATTTTGTCGCTGTAGCTAATATTATTAGAAATCAATGTCACGAAGTAAATGAATTAAAGTAATGGTAGTGTTATGGTAGGCTGTTGTTATTGCTTTGATAATTTTACGTATCGCAACCACTGCTTCTCCTTATTGTGNGATTATTATTATTATTATTATTATTATTATTATTATTATTATCCAATTACAAAAATCAGAAGTAATTGGAACAAATCATTATCACTGTTTATGAACAAATCGAAACTTACATGGTCAGGATATTTCATTCTGATAACCTCCGAGGTACCAATGTACTACGTTAGAAAGGAAAACTAAAGCCGGCGTCATGAAATTTGCACCTTAGAACAGAAATTTATTTTCTCATTTTATAGGTATGAAAGATGTACCTACATACATGTGCATATAAAAGAAACTATACTAAGAAAAATCTACAGAAATTTAATTTAAAGGTAAAGTTGTCTATCGCGAGCTCTGGGAGTTTGAACATTGTGGTAAACATCTGGAATTTGTCAACTCAAATTCCGGATCCATCGTTTAGTAAAGTTTAATGATTCGTAATCATTAATTAATAACTGATTACATATTAGATTGAAGTATATTTCTGTAACATTGGTTAATTATAAGGTAGCATTGTTTTGCTAGATGGAGCTAGGTTTCAGGATATGAAACAGTGATTACTTGAGGGATATTTCAGTTAATTGAAATAAGTGCTAATAATCTTGGAAGGGTGACCTTATTACGAAGATGAATTTTGTCGCTGTAGCTAATATTATTAGAAATCAATGTCACGAAGTAAATGAATTAAAGTAATGGTAGTGTTATGGTAGGCTGTTGTTATTGCTTTGATAATTTTACGTATCGCAACCACTGCTTCTCCTTATTGTGACATCCCCCCCCTCCCCCTCCTCTTTACTGTTACCTCTGAGCACTGAAATCCGTTACTGGCTAACGTCTTTATGTGGTGGTATCAACGCAAAAGGAAAGAAGCGGGCGACACACTTGTAAGAAACAAGTATGCCGTGTTTACCGCTAGCACAGGTAAATTTAACATAGTAATTTGATCAAGCTTAGAGCCAAAGCTGTATTGATAAGCTTAGACTGGTTGTTTGTTACTGTGGTAAGGGTCGTATCAAGCTTGACTTTTTCGTTTGGGTTCTTGCCAGCAAACCACATCATACAATTGTGGCTGTTTTCGTACTTGAACGATTGTCCCCACATTTTGTTGCACAATCCTTTCCCGTCTTTATTCAGCTGAAAATAAAAAGACAATTGTTATGACAGCGCTTGATCATTAAGCCCGGGAGCAACAAACGATCGTGTAGTCCGATTGTCCAAAGTAGTGTAATCCCACAGTGGACTGTTACTTGAGGTAGGAAACAACGTTTCGATAACGAAAGCGCAAGTCATTGTCTTGTAACTCTGAAAATGACTTCTGATCAATTTTTTTGAAACTTGAAACTTTCACAAACTGTTGCCGACAACAGTATTTTTTAAGAATCGCCGTTGACCAGAACGGAGGCACGGAGCTAATGTTCTGGGCCGGGTTGTTCAAATGTGGGTTGAGATAACCCGAGATTAGTAGGAAATTTGTTTTCAGATCTGAGAGATTTAAAAGAAAATTAAGTTTAAATCCATTTGTCTGCAATTAAAAACAGTTAGCTACAATTGGGAAAATTATCTCAGAACGGCTTTTGAACAGAGAAATATAGAAACCTAGGTCAAAATTTAGCCCCGGGTCAACGCTAATCGGCCTTCGAACAACTGGGCCCTGGGAGATAATGTGTCAATGCTACATTACCCATGATTAAAATGTAAAATAAAGGAGAAGCTGATTATTCTTTTAGCATTATGAACGATAATTTGTAAAAGAGCTTTGAATATAACTTTTTACTGCAATTCAGGCAGCCTAGTTTTCCTTCTATGATAAGCGGTTTAAATCTGAGTCAAGAAATAACTGTGATGGACCCGCGACGTCCGAGAGAATCTGTGGATTTCTTCTCTTTTCTCGTGCGGCTTCCATAAACCCACAAGCTACCCCAAGGTTTCACGCGACCATTTGTTCCTAGTTGTCAAGAATTCCCACTGCCAGCTAGGACTATAAAATCCACCGGCCAGCCCCTCACCAAAGCGCTGTTAACAGTTTACATTACCTTGCTAAATTTGCGACATTTGGAATCACTCCGGCAGACGTATTTGCTTGAAGTATAGTTGAAATCTTCCAGCCAATCTTCATGTTCCTGCAAGCATCAAACCATTTATCACAGTAGCAGCACATATTGGAACCCCTTTGACGGCGTCTCCGTCAGAGGTATGCCGCTTGATGAGGCTAGGTTCAGACGAATAGAAACACTCTTCCTGTTTTATGTACCGCTCGCACTCCTTTTCACGGAAAAAAAAAGAATTAGACTCAGGGGTACGAGTATCTAAGATCAGATATTCTCTACTGGTACACTGCGAGAGGAATGAAACGCCCCATAGGGGACGTTGGTTTTTTTAAACCAGGGTCAACGATTACTTTTTTTTCGCACTGTTTGTTTCCGTTCATGCTTAAAACAGTCAAATAAGCTTTACCATGCTTTTCCTATGTTCTGGTGGGCAGACTAAAAAGTGGTGCAGCTAGAAATTGAATTTTTGAGACAGTTTCCGGCGTGGCTGGGGGATGGGTGGAGGAGGTGACAAGGGTGCACGCAGTAATGCGTCTAGTTCTCTTTAAATATCAAACAATAACGGCCACAAACAGTTAGGAGAGTTTAACATACTCGTGGAGCCGCTTAGAAACAGTGGAAGAAGAACCAAGTAATTTTCTTTTTAAGCTACAGATTGAAGTTGAATATTTTTAAACATTATCCTCTAAAAGTCATTAAATGCTCTAACTTTTGTTTTACAAGTGGAAAAGACAAAATACTTGGAACACCTGTTCACACCCTGGATTAGGACTGGACAGTTAGTGAGTCCTAGTCTAATTCCCACGTACTTGCAGTAGGAAATTCATTATCTTAAGCGCACCCGAATGGATAAAAAGCTCTCATCTACAATGAACCGAATAAGTGATTCGCAGCCGTGGAATGGCAGCAAAGGTCTCTCACAATGCCGGAATGCAGCTTTCTAATGATTACAAATCACTTCAACAAGCAAACACATAGCTGATCATAGGAAATTATACTTTTGGGTCGTACATGTTACAAAACTTGCAATTCTCACAAAGAATTACACAAAAATTATGATTTCTTACTATCAAACAAATTGGTAGCGATGTTCCTACCTTTGAGAGATTACCACAATGGTGCCATGAAAAATTGTGCAAAACTCCCACGGCACTTTTCTTAAGTTGAGCCGTGAATTCGGCAGTACAGCAAGTTTTTCCTTTGAAGGTTGACATTCAACATAGTCCGGTCCTTCAGCGGAGAAGGCCTCTCTTTGTGATATCGACCATCGATGCATTTATCTGCGTCTTAAGCTTCCCCATTACCGACGTAAAACTTTGCGATGACTGCGACAAGGAATAAACATACGACCACACTGAAACGTACCATTCTGTACAATAAATATCAAGATCACCGTAAAGATTCTATAGGAAAATTCATCACCAGACTCGTGAATTCCGCGTTGAATTGCACTTGAAAACCGATATCGCACGAATCGCGAAGCGACTGTATCACCCAATAGATGATAGCCTAACAAAGAGTGTGAGGCTTTTTGTGGCAACCCCGTCCTCTTTCGCGGCTACTGCCTCCTATAGGACCCACATATGTCATCGAAATGAGTGAGTGAGTGAGTGAGTGTGGGATGGTAAGTAACAAAAGAATGCCGAGCTTTACTCGATTCTGACCCGATATCAGTTATTGTTTTTTAGGAGTATCTTCGTAGACCGACATTCACATTAGAGATTATTGGGAGCGGTATACACTATAGATAGAAGAATGCCTTTGAAACAAGTGCAATGTTATGCATTGCTAGACGCCGACTCATCCAGGCGATGAGGCTAAATGAAGAGGCGTCGCTATTTATGTTGCATGATGATTGTTAGCAGTTTTTGGTGCTTGCGTTTTGGCACGTTCTCATATAATTTCAACATTTTTTTATCAATATAGTTGTGGTAACCTCAGCCTTCTCAGGAATTTCCATGACCTCCTGCTACCGCTTGTCACTATAGAATGTCCCTGAGCCGAACCTTAGGGCGTAAAAGCGCTCCCAGATGAGAATACATGAACCTATTGTACAATTGCCACAATTTAAATCCCTTCCCCCCCCCCTCCCGTTTGCAAAAAGGCTCGATTAGAGCTGACGATAACTTGAATTAAGTTCTTTGTCGAGTTGTTTCGTGTTTTAGCATGCCGTAGACTCATTCCCTTCTCAAATGCTTTCGGTTTCAGACATTATTTTTTGCAGTATTATTCGACAAACGAGAAAATATGTGGTCTTGATTAAACACCTCCCGGTTAGCTCAATGGATAGAGCGCTGGACTGTTGTGCGGGAGGTCGAGGGTTCGAGCCCCGACCGGACCAACACTCAGGGTCTTAAAATAATTGAGGAGAATTTGCTACCTTTCTATAACATCAAGAAATGGTTAGATATTCTAGTCTTCTCGGATAGGGACGAATAAATGGAGGTCCCGTCTCCTGCAGGGTTAGGGGTAGGAGACGTTAATTTCCCACACACGAGATTACTGTGTGATGGATGTCCTCCCCTGGGGTGGGATGGGTGGGAGGGTGGACTAGCACGAATGGTTCCTATGTTCCTTTCTAGTCCTTCCCCACTGCAAAACTTAATGCAGTGAAAACGGACAAAATTAAATTANAGTATCGTTACTCGTATAGTATCGTTACTCGTATAGTATCGTTACTCGTATAGTATCGTTACTCGTATAGTATCGTTACTCGTATAGTATCGTTACTCGTATAGTATCGTTACTCGTATAGTATCGTTACTCGTATAGTATCGTTACTCGTATAGTATCGTTACTCGTATAGTATCGTTACTCGTATAGTATCGTTACTCGTATAGTATCGTTACTCGTATAGTATCGTTACTCGTATAGTATCGTTACTCGTATAGTATCGTTACTCGTATAGTATCGTTACTCGTATAGTATCGTTACTCGTATAGTATCGTTACTCGTATAGTATCGTTACTCGTATAGTATCGTTACTCGTATAGTATCGTTACCCATATAGTATCGTTATTGATACTCGTTAGTATCAATTATAGAAAAGCTATGGAAAGTATACGAAAAGGATTACACCCTTTTAAACCTACTTTTGAATGTTAAACCGACAGAATTCCCTACCCTTTTGAAAATATGTGGCCTTAAAAAGGTCCTCCTTTGGGGAGGAGCATCCCCATCTAAGTCATTAAAGGAAATACCTCCCCCCGCCCCCATCTACGATAAAAGTGAATCCTTTGGTTGTATCAAGTGAAATTTTTACGACTAGTTTTCTGCTTTCGCCTTGCCTGTGTAGAAATACTTCAGTTTCTCACTCATGCTGTTGATATTCGAGTGTAACTCTGGGCTGAATATGCTTCATGGCGAGCGAGGGAAAAAAGTTGGTTTAATAATTTGCTATTCTGCTTAGAGCAGGTGATAGGTAACCAAAGCGAATAAATGTACTCACCTTTACACTCAGTAGTCCGGAGACGTTCGGAAAACAAGAAATGTCTGAGTTGCGGGAACGATTCAATTACCCGAAGTACACAAAGAACACCTCCCAAAGTGAAAAACCGAAATTTATGGGACGAAGAGAAAGCTAGGCTGCCCAGACAGATGTCAAAGTGTTTTCCTCGTGACTTTCATCTTATTTTACGTAACAGTTAAAGTATTAAATTTTGTTTTTGCTCCCGTAAAGAACCCTTTTCATGATGCGCTATTTTGGATAAATTCCCATGTTATGAGTATCAGATTTAGCTCAAGAGCTGACCTTTCTTAAGAGATATCCTTCTTCTAGCGGACGTCACACATTTGAACCCGGACTTTTTGTGACCGGAAAAAGGCTTTAAACTTCATAAAGGAACGTTGAATCGCTAGCTTTCCTGCATGACGGTGTTGCCCTTTGAAGGCGAGCATCTCCCACCCTTCAATGACACCAGCCCGCCGATGAAAGTGTGGAGGGTTTAACGTCAGGGCTTGCAGCTGCATGCAGTCCAACCCCTGACTTATCCTAGAATGGGTTGCAAATGGCTCTGTGCCTTAAGCTCAGGGGTGGGCGGGTAGGATTTTAGACCTATCAGCCAGGAGGGGGGGATAAGGGGTTTGCTTTCTGGATAAAACTGAACATCTTGGTAGAGTTCTTGTCAGCCTGTTGTTGTTTTGGACTGCGTCTTATAATTCATAGTCAGACTCATGCCTTGTGGCAGCTTAATTAGTGGACCAGATCACTATGGCTGGGTTTGGAGTGGGGGGAATTTTCAATTCAAAATTGACTTTGAGTTTACTGCTTTCTTGGGTATGTTTTGGTGAATTCACAAACACACACAAACACACAAGCAAATATATACATTTATTGCATCCATTTTGAAATCACTGGTGGTCCCTGTAATCTGATTGGCTCTAATTGATGCGATTTATTCACGAATCGCACCATTTTTTGCTCTAAATCGCATCATTTTTCGCTTGACTGAGTTTTTGACGCATGATGTCAAAGTCTTTCTGTTTTGTATACAAAATAAGATGTAAAAGCGTTTCTGGTTCCGCTTTTTTTAAAACCGGCTCAGTACTGCATCAGCAAAATATTTGAATTGACCAAGTCCTGTATTTGGGCGATTTCAAAATAGATGTAATAAAGTGGTAATTGAACCTCGTAACGTGCAATTTTGGTCTGAAATCACTTGTATGATTTCAGCCCAAATTGCACTTCACTCAGTTCAATTACCATTATATATACATATAGTAGTATGTAATGGGAACAGAAATCGAAACAACAAAGGAGAT